TCCTCCTACCCCATTACATGGGAGAGTGGGCAGCTATAATGCAGAATTTCTTTCTCTGTTTTTCGTCCGAAGCCGACGCGAGACCAAAATTCGTCCTACGTCTCAGCAGCATTGAAGCGGTTGAGAAGGGACCATTCTCCCACAGCGACCGAGTCGATCGAAGATTTACAATAAAGTTGGTTTGGGGCTTTTGGATTTTTGGTATCAATCGTTGGGCTTCGTGGAAATGGGAATCGCAAGGATGTACATTAGCATAGTTACGATCACGTTTTCATACTCGAACAAACTCAGTGTTGATTGCTGTCCTCAGATACGTCAAAGGATGCCAGGGAGGGCCCGCATCGCCCATCGCTCGGGTTGAGTTCCTCGCTGGCTCTCCTAGAGAAAGGAATGTTTGGGTAGCGGCGTTGAGCGACGCTGTGGCAGAGCTGCGAGGTGAACAATACGCCTCCTTTGTGTCGGCGAGGATGCACCATGAGGTCCTTGAGAGGTTTCGGAGGGACTCGGAGGGAGATGTGCGGGAGAAATCTCTGCAATTGGTGAATGCGGTTGAGGCCGGAGTCAGACGTAGATGGGCTTTCTTCACTTGGAGGCAACTCGTGAAGGGGACGGTGCAAGTCAGCAAGCTCAAAGCCTCTGACCAGTTCGGTCGAGTATTAAAGTCAGCTGTGGCAGCTAGGCAGGCTCGTGCATTCCGAATCCTCAGTTGCCATGCTCAGATGGCTAGGGTGGAGCAAAGGACACTTTCTAACTGTACTAGGATCCTTGGGGATGCACTCCTGAGGTACGCAGATAGACTCTCGGGTGCTCGGAGGAGCTCCTTGAGGCGGCTGGCCCTTGTGGTGGCTCGGCGAAGTATTGGTATGGGCTATCGGGCTCTAGTTGATGAGAAGGAGAGGCATGAGAAGGCAGTGATGAGGAAACGTGAGGGGGCGAGGCTGATGGAGAAGACGATTCACTCAGTGGTAGGCTGGGGAGGGCGAAGGTCAGCAGGTTGGAGTAGATCATCCCTTCAGATGCGTAACGTCGTCAGTGATGCCTTGCGGCGGTTGTGCGTCTCAGTGGCTCGTCGAGCCCGTAGAGTGGGGGAGGTGAGCCTTTACCGGTCCGAATATGTGGATCATGCTTGTATCGGTTGATTTGCCATGACCTGTTTCCAGGTATGCGACTCACCTATGGAGGAGAAGAGTTACCGCGGTAGGGAGGAGACCGCCGAGGTCAGTGAGGAGGCTGACAAGGTCAGTGAGGAGACCGTGGAGGTCTGTGAGGAGACCACGGAGGCCAATGAGGAGATCGCCGAGGTCTGTGAGGAGACCACGGAGGCCAATGAGGAGATCGCCGAGGTCAGTGAGGGGACTGTCGAGGTCAATGAGGAGACCACCGATGACAGTGAGGGGACTGTCGAGGTCAGTGAGGAGACCGTGGAGGTCAGTGAGGGAACCGCCGAGGTCTGTGAGGAGACCACGGAGGCCAATGAGGAGATCGCCGAGGTCAGTGAGGGGACTGTCGAGGTCAATGATGAGACCGCCGAGGTCAGTGAGGGGACTGTCGAGGTCAGTGAGGAGACCGTGGAGGTCAATGAGGAGACCGCCGAGGTCAGTGAGGAGACCGCCGAGGTCAGTGAGGGCACCACCGAGGTCAGTGAGGAGGCCGGCGAAATTAGTGAGGAGGCTGACAGGGTCAGTGCTGAAGCGGAGAACGAGGAGAGAGTATCAGCGGAAGGGCCGTTGAAAGGTGATAACACGGATGTACCCGGTAACGTCTTAGGATCACCACATCCCTCTTTTAATGAGACTATGACGGCCATTGGTGAGAGGGTCTCCCAGCTGTCTTCTCAATCGTCAGTGGATACTCTCAAATCTAACCCCAGCCTCACAGCCGAGGCCCCTACGGAGCTCAAATGGGGAGTTGAAGAGGGAGAGATGAGAACAGCGAGTGGCGCAAATCTCGAGACTCGCGAGGACATTGACTACTCATCGGCAAAGGAAATCTCTCGACATATTGTGGCGGAATTGGGTCGGCTTGAGGTATCGGTCTTCGATACGGCACATGAGCAGCAGCAGCAGCAGGAGGAGGAGGAGGAGGAGCTTGCTGTCACTGAGGAGGCCGCATCCTTCTGTCGGCAGTTGTCGGCGGTCGGTGATGTTGTGGAGGAGTTTGATGGTGGTGTGCGGTCTGAAGATGTTCGAGTATTAGGGTTGAGCAAGCAAGATACAGAAGAGGCCCAGTCGAGGTCCGAAAGTGAGCGTGGCAAGCAAGCTGATGGCAGTCCATCCCCCTGTGAAGAGCTGACGTCGCCTATACAGCAACCTGCAGTCAGCACAGTTTCCAACCCGTCCATCCTTCGGCATGACAATGATGAACATTGGCCGGCCCAAGTCGAGAGCCCCGAGTCATGGAAGACATTCAGTGGGGCCGGGAGGAAATCATTGACGACCGTTGAGGAAATGCAAGATGGCAAGTTTGAGAAGAAAGTCGCTCTTCAGAAGCACTTTGAAATTCCTCCGTTGCCACTCCAGCGAGTCACGAGGACTAGCCGGAAGGTGGTACGGCTCCCCCCTCCCACAAGAGATTGGGAAACTATCGAGTTTACAGACTCGTCACCAGAATGAATCTACCAGATTGTTTTCAATGGTGCTGGACATGTGCTTGGACGTCCTTCTATTCGTTGTATGTTGTTATGCTGCAATGAGTATTGTGTTAGAGTCAGAGAGATGATCACAGACACAGTAGGAAGAGGACAGCACCCCTTCCGAGTGACTTTTCACGCGCCACGAGATATCATGAAAGTGAGGCCTTTTCCTTTAGTAAAAAGTGTCGATATCAACGTTCAAGGTAGCGGAAACCCGTTCCCTATTCACATTGCAAAGGCTGCTACGCGGAGGCGTTGCAACTGAAAACTTCCTAAAAAGGCTCGGACGAACCACTCGCACAACACGCTGAGTATTATAAGCTCAACAACCAGTAAGCCTGTGAGAGCTCCATCCGAATCCAATGCAAAGAATTGTAACTGAGCGATGCTCAACACAAATCGATTTTGCAGTGAAACCACTATCCTAGGAAGAGCAGCTGTTGCTGATACCATCACTCAAGTTGCAACAAGACAATTCGTAAACATTAGCACGCCGCTACTTCAATCACAACTACGCGTCGGGGGCTACACCAAAGAGGTCATGGAGACTCTCCTTCTGATGGATGCGACGGATGGCATCCGCGATAAGCACAGCGATCGACAACTGTGTGAGCTGAGGAGGAGTACCATCAAAGGAGCAGCCACTGGGAGGAAACTCACCTTAGGGCATTCCTTGGAGTCTTCAGGGCTGTGTTGGATACTATCAGTAACAATAACCTCTTCCAATGGGGACGCTTGAATGCGCGCCTGAACAGAGACTGTCTCGTTTTCCCCGATCGGGGTCATATTGGTCACCTTTGCTGGGCCACTGAGAAGACCATGAGTTGCAAATGCGAAGACACGCAAGGCGCCGTGCTTCTTGAGCTCTCTAGCCGCCTCGCAGAGTGTGCCGGCAGTATCAATCATATCATCCACGATAATGCAGTCGCTACC